TTTGACATATGATTGCATGTTAAACGTTTTAAAGTCAAACAGAATCATTTTATCATCATTTTAATCCTGTAAAACTAATGAGTGTGTTTTAACTGTACTAAAAGTGCTGCTAACTTGTGATAAATATCACTTTTATTGTGCCGTGAATTTAAAAACAAAATATTTTTAAAACAAAAAAGGTTAGAAGTGAATGCTGTTATTGAGTTTATATTGCAAAAACTTTCAAATGGATTTAGTCTAACTGAAAATCCACATTTAACTTGAACTTGCTTGATATTAATAATAAAACCTGACTTTAACTCTGTTGCTCCAAACAAAAGCAACCAGACTAAATAAAAGCCTCGGCTGTGGGTCTTTGTCGTGTTCTTGGCCTGCGGGGTGAAAACAGAGTACCTGTATGGTGGTGATGGATAACTCCTTAGCATCTAGAAAGAGACGAAACAAAACATGTCAGTTTTAGTGAAGCAGCTTGTTGATGTCACTGAGCGTTAAGAAAGGAGGGTTTAGTCCGTGTCGGATCGTTTGGCTGATTGGTTGCAGTTTTACGTCTGTGAGCAGCGACTTCTGAAAGCTAATGAAGCGTTTTGTTGCTCCGACTCTCCTTCATGTGTCTCTCTAAAGCCGCGGCGGTAAATTAGCCAAACAGCCTCCGGAGGACAAAGACGGTTTTGTTGCCGGTTGTTTTTCAGGAGACTTGAGAAAGTGGCTCCATACTGAGGGGAGGCGGTAACCGGGCCCCCATGAAGGGATCAAAGTGGGAACTGGTTCTTCTTCGGCCCACTGGCTCAGGCGTGTAATCAGAGCAGAGGATGAAGGCCCCCCCGCAGCCAGCCATCGCCTTTCATTACTCGTCACACTCGGTTGTTTTCCTCTCTGCCACAACTGCCCCGGTGCCGCTCCCAGCGTGTCCGGTGGGCCCTAACATGTGCTGCCGGGAGACGAGCGGAGGTGCCGGGGGCGCCGGTTTGTTCCGAGATACACGCCGCGACAAAAGAGGAGCTGAGAGCCATGACACTCCGTCAGCCTCCTCTGGAGAAGATGGCAGCGTCTAGAATCTGCGGAGATGCCTGTCACTTTCCCTGACGCCCCCCAAGCCCCCCCACCCACCGACCTCCATTAATTGATTCATCACACTGCTTTGTGCCAGCAGCTTCCCCCTCTGGGTTCTGATAAGACCCCAGCCGGGTCGGGTTGGGAAAATGTCAGGGACTGATTTGGGAGCGTGACCCCGTCTGAAAGGTCAGCCGAAGGCCCGCTGGCACCGAGCTGGGGGCAGACGGTCCGCAGAGGCAGAACCGCCGCAGGAAGTGAGCTCACCGGCTCGCTGAAAACACCGGCCCTGAAAAATCAGAGCTGTGGTTTGAAAGATGGAGCTGCTGCGTGGAAGACTGACCTCAGCTTCAGCATTTTAGCTTCCACATTAATGTTTATGGCAATTTGTCTGCAATATGGCGTTAGCTCCCAGGCTAATAACWTTTGCTCAGTAGCCAAAGCCACATWTGCTACTAATGTTAGCGCTGGAGCTAACGCTAAGTGTTTTTTAAGTTATTTACAAAGTTAGGTTCCRACTTAATTATATGTAGTTAGCTCCCAGGCTAATAACATTTGCTCTGTAGCTAAAGCCACATTTATTATTTGGATACATATGGGGCTTTAGCTCCTATGCTACTAATGTTAGCGCAGGAGCTAACACAAAGTGTAATTTAACTTATTTACGAAGTTAGTTTCCAAATTAATAATATGTAGTTAGCGCCCAGGCTAATATTATTTGCTCCATAGCTAAAGATATATAATATATATATATATATGCTTTAGCTCCTATGCTACTTATGTTAACGCTGGAGCTAACGCTAAGTGTTTT